CAACCCCTTGCTCCACAGTCTGGTGCTCAGTCCACTGAGCCACACCAGCCAGGGCTTCCTTGCTTTCTCTTTTTTCTTCTTGCTGTTCTAGTTGAATGCTTTTTTTCTTCCTTATGTTCCAAATCAGTGATCTGAATCTTGGCTTCATTCCCCTCCACTGTTCATTCCCTGTAAATTTCTATTTATTTCACTTAATGTAAACTTCATTTCTGCCTGGGTCTTTTTGATGCTGTTGCCATACTCAGTGAGTTCATTCAGAATCCTGATCATCAGTGTTTTGAACTCTGCATTAGATAGATTGGTTGTCCCCATTTTATTTAGTTCTTTTTCTGGAGTTTTGTTCTGTTCTTTCATTTGGGCCATGTTTATTTATCTCCTCAATTTGGCAGCCTCCCTGTGTTTGTTTCTGTGTATTAGAGCTACTTTGACTCCCTGTCTTAGTAGCATGGCCTATTACAGAAAAATGCAGCTTCGAGTTACATGGGGCAGAGAGTTATATAATCACCAGGGTGGGGCAAACTGTTTGCTTTGTGGCTCCATGTGAGGGGAGGGCTGAAAGAGGAGACGATGCCACTACCTGGCTTCTGGAGGTTTCCCCAGGAGGAAGCTGTTTTCCGGCACTCACCCTGTTTCCAGCACTTCGCTTTCTCCTTGTATGACACTGATACCCTTCTAGCTGTTTCCCTGATGCTGAATTCCAGAAGGGGAGCATCTGAGTAAGTCTTATGTCCATGCAGCCCCTTTAAAGGAGTCTCCTGAAAATCCAGAAGTGTCTTCCACCGCTCTAACCTCTGTTGGTTTTTGCAGCCAGGAGTTGTGGGAGTTTATCTTCCTGGTGCTGGAACCCTGAGCTGTGTGGTCTGGCCTGGGGCTGGGATCCCTCACTCCCAAGGTATCCTTCCTGATTTGTATCCACCACACATGAATATGGGACCGCTCATTCCACCCCCTTCTCTCTGCGCCACACTGTGTCTCTGCACCTCTCCTCCCATCTCTGCATCTCTGCCATGCTTACCCGTCTGGACGAATGTGGCTTCTTTAAATCCCTAGTTGTCAGACATCCATACAGCTTGATTTTCTGATGGTTCTGGGTGATATTTGTTTTGTGGTCTAGTTGTAATTTTTTCTGTAGTTGTGCAAAGAGGTGAAGCATGTTCACCTATGCCTCCATCTTGACCAGAAGTCTCTTATTATCCACCAATCTTTATTGAGCTCTTACTCTGCTCCCAGAGCTTTAATCATAATCTCATTTCATTTCTGCACCAATCTGATGGAGAATTCACACTTATCATTCCCATTTTATAGGTAGAGAAACTGCTAGTAGCTCAGTAGCCCTGCCAGGCCATGGGCATCATGGAAGGAGAGCCCTGGTCCAACACAGGTCTGGGCTTCCCTGCCCGGCGCCCACTCCTTCAGCTGCCACAGCTTCAGCTGGCCATACCTCCTGACTCAGAAGGAAAGAGCCTAGTGAGCGTGCTCACCTTATTCCTTGCTCATCTGGGTGGATGGACGGCCTTAGTTCCCAGTAAACACCAAACAGAATCCTGTACTGTGGCCCCCTCCTCAGGCGTGCCCCAGACCTTTGAGGGGCCTACACGCTGTACATCTAAACTTCAACTAATGAAGAGTTTAAAATCAAGCTGTAGCTAACAAACTATTAAATATGGTCTATTTTTCCTCCTTGACAAACACACCCTGGCAACACCTCCAGAGAACTCTCAGATTCCACAGTGGACCCTGGTGACCTGGGGTGAGCAGCTCCCAGGCCCCTCCTCCACGTCCCCCTCTGTGCCCTTCTCGTTCAGTCCCACACCCTAATGACCCAATGACCATGTGAGACCTCTCACATAAGGTGCATAAGGGTACATCACCACCCTCAGGAGGACAGGCCAGGAAGTAGAAGAAAATTTCAGGGTGCCCGGTAGCCACGCTGGCGTCCTAAACGGTGCTCACGCTCTGGCTTGGCACGCCCTCTTGGCCCACCACTTCCTCACCCGTGGAGAGAGTTGCGGCCCTAGGACAGCCAGAGCTGGATCCTCAAACACACAGGGCAGGCAGGGTCTCTGCTTGTCTAAGACTAAGTGGGTGCTGTCCCTCCCCCAGCTTTGTGACTCCATTAGGGTGGACTCCTGGGCTCAGATTAAATGCTTTTCAGTACAATCCAATTTCCTCCTGACATGGACTAGGAAAGCCCTCTCTGTGCGCATGTGTGCATGAACATGCACACACACCACATTCGTTGTTAAATATCCAATCAGGTCCAAAGATAATAGAGAAAAGCCAGTTCACTCCCAGTTTAATCAGATAAAATGCCCATTCATTGGCTCCTGCCAGGAGCTGATGTCCCCTCCTCAGCGACACCGAGACAGAGGATGGGGGTGGGGGTGGAAGGAGGCTGCAGGAGAGGGGCTGGAGATAAGTGGGAACCATGGGGACCTGAGAAGCTAGAAGCAGATTGAATAGGTGGGCTGTGCTTTTAAACCTTCAAGGAGGGGGGCAGTGTTGCCCATGGGGGACTAATTATCCTCCAGCCTTTAGCCAGCTCTTACTCAAACAGACAAAAGGAGGCTTTGCAGCCCTGATGGCTGCTAAGCTTCTACAAAGAATTGTTTTTACTCTCAGATATGCAAATGTCACTCAGCAAGGTGGACTCTGGGGAGGGCTGAATGGTGGCTCAGGGGTTTGGAAGGGCCAGGAGAGGCAAGGGCCTGGGGGCTAGACCCCCTCCGAGGACTAGTGTGAGAAACTGGAGGCATCTTACCCTCCCTCCTCTGGCTGGATGGGGAGTCCACTCAGGCCCTGCTTCACCAACTGGGAGAGTCTTGTGGAGGCCAAGACGAAGGCCCTCCCTCCCACCTTCACCTTTATGTGGGTGGGAGGCTCCTGTGGATGGCCAGAGGGGCTCCCTCAGGAGGCTGCCTCAGGGACCAGGAGCTGACAGAAGGGGCCCTCCTGCCCACTTGATCCCCTCCAACCTAGGACACAGCTACCAGGTGACCTACCCAAAGCGCCATTTGGGCTGACCCTGCTCTCAACACCTCCGGGACCCCTTCACCTGTTCTGTGAGCCCCTCAGCCTGATGGCTCTCTGACTTCTGAAGCCTGTGCCCAACCCAGAATATTCTACTCACACCCAACCCTAGCAGTACTTCCAGCTCTGGGCCTTTGCTTCTCTACTCTGTCTGCCTTATATCCCCTCTCCACCCTACCCCAGGTGCCCAGCACACAGTAGGTGCTCAGTAAATGAGTACAGTGGATACATAAAACGCCATCTTCTTAAGTGGCCACATGGCCAGAAACGATGACATCTTCATCAGAGAGGGGACATTTGCTTCCTCTTCAGCTCCCAGCCAGCGTCTACAGAAATGATAACCCGTACCCCAAGGTTGGAGGCCTCTGTGAGCTATGAAGGGCCTCTGATACCCGATCATTCACAGCAGAGATGAGGGGGGCAGTGTAGAAGAGTTGGGGGTGGGGGAGACCGTTAGAGACCAAATTTCATCCCTCTCAGCCTCTCCAAAGCGCTCACATCAGACAACCAGCAGCCACTGCCATGGGGAGTCCATTCCTCCACTATACATGGATCTCAAAAGCCTCAGAATGAAGCAAAAGGTCTGCATCATCAGGATTTGCATTCTGATGCAAATCAGAGGGGAGGTGGGCAGGGGCCCAGGCACCCCAAGAGACTGGGAGGGGAGGGTGCCTCCAAGCAACAGAGCACCCCCACGAAGTCCCCTCCCCTCATTGCTGCTCGCATTTGTGAGGGCCTGAGCCAAGGAAGATTGAGAAGGGAAGGCTAGTCAGTCAGGGAAAATGGCCAAAAAAGGCCAGCTAACAAGCCAAGTGAGAAGGGGCTCTGAAGGGACCAACTGTCTTGTGGCTCAGGCAGCCAAAGGCAAAGTGGGGAACATGGATTTCCAGAAGTATTGCCCAGGAGTCCAGAGGAGGAGACACTCTTTGCAGTTCTGGGGTGAGCCTGGAGCCCTGCAGAGTGGAGTGGGGTCTGCAGTAATGCAGAGCTGGGGAGAATGTGCCAGCCTGTGCTGAAGGCAGGAAGAGTCTGGCCACTGAGGATGGGGAGAGGGGGCTGTCATTATGAAGACATAATGACCCCTAAAAAAGAATCTAGTCCTGGCTGCTGTGTCATTATGAAGACATAATGACCCCTAAAAAAGAATCTAGTCCTGGCTGCTGTGGCTCAGTAGATTGAGCACCGGCCTGCAAACCAAAGGGTCTCCCGTTCAATTCCCAGTCAGGGCACATGCCTGGGTTACAGGCCAGGTCCCGGTAGGGGGAGCGAGAGAGGCAACCACACATTGGTGTTTCTCTTCCTGCCTTTCTCCTCCCCTTGCCCTCTTTCTAAAAATTAGTATCTTTAAGGGGGAAAAAGAATCTAGATGGGGCTGGAGAGGCAGAGACAGGTAGGTGAGTGCTGAGGAATGAACACCTACATGCACCATCCTGTGCCCAAGTCCCCTGAGACATTGCCCAACCAGATCAGCCTCTCCTCAGAAAGCCCTGGGGGTCTGCTTCTGCCGGCCCACCCAGCTTGGGCATTTGGAGCACAGGACCCCTCCCTCTCCACCAGCCCTCCCAGTGCTGCCGTTCCAGGAGCTAAGATGAGCCTGAAACAGGGAAGGGAGGCCGCACCTGAATCTCCCCTGACCCTGGTCCCACCCCTAGTCCCACCCCACGCTCTGTGCCTCCCTGAATCCCCCCGAAGTCCAGGAAGTCCGGCCTGAGCCCCTTCCACCACACCAGAGACTTAGCAGGTGGCCCCCTTCTCTGGGGGCCTTTTCTCCATGCCTGGGGAGGGGACAATAAATGAGAAGCGGTGTTCCACACCTTCAGAAAAATAATGAAACGGGGGAGAGTAAATGAGAGCCTAGAATTCAGACCCAGGGAGCACACTAAAGAGATGATGCTTTAATAGTAGAATCATAGTTCCCTCCAGCCAAGATAACCAGGAACACACCTGCAACTGAAACAAGTTGGGTTTATGAACTCATTGCAGCCAGGAAGCCACCCAGCACAGGGAGACAGTGCAGGGTGCATCCGGAAGTGTCGGAAAGGACAGAAAAGAAAAGGCTGAGTTGGGCGATGTGAGGAGAGTTCAAGGACCCAGGGCTTTGCTCTAGTCAGATGCTCTTGGGAGGCATGATAACTCTGAGTGGGAACTGCGAATCTTACCCTAAAGGCAGGAAGAACAAAAAGAGGCTGAGACTGCCCTTGGTAAGGCAGCAGCAGACACTCAGAGTATACAGGGGAGGATGCTGTCCGGTCATTTTGGTGGTTTCAACAATGTCCGTGTTTCATGCGGTCATGTTTTTGTCTTGCTCCATGCTGGTCAGAAAGTTGTCTTGTAGGGTGCTGTGAAATTACGTTCTGCAGGAGAACACCAAGGTCCAGCAGTGCATGCAGGCCAGCTCCCAGCCATCAGAGGCTGCCTTTTTCTTTCTCAGCAGCCTCAGGCTTAGTGACAGAGGAGAAAAGGGCCAGTTGTCTCACACAGACTGGTGCCCGGTGCTGCACTCAACCCTAGACGGTCTTTGCCCACTTAACGTTTACCACAGGTCTCTCCCCAGTGTGCAGATGATGAAACCGAGGCTCAGAGAGGCAAAGTGCTCATGTGAGCCATAAGCAACTGGCAAAACTGGGACATAAACCCTGAGCTCCCTACCTCCTGAGTTCCTCCCATCCCCCATCCTTGGTTGGCCTGGAGGCTGAGCCTCTCCCCACTCTCACCTTTTGGTAACAGGACCCTAAACGTGTCCCCCAGGGCATCCCAGCAGCTGTCACAGTCTAGCCACAGTGTCACCAGCCACTCTGGCTCAGGCTGGTCTCCTGCACCTAAAGGTGTGAGGGGTAATGAGGCCCCATAATTAAGGTTTCTGGAGACATGGCCAGGAAATTTATAGACAGACTGGGTCAATAATTGTACTCCCTGCTGCAGATCCAGCAAGACATTGATCAGCACTCGTTACAGCTCTTCCCGCCCTCTGTTCTGCACCACCCCCCACACACGCGCGCCTGTCAGCCCGCCTGTTCACAGCGCCTACGTGCACAGGTTTTGCTCAACTAATTTGCACTTGTTGGGACCATCTGTCCTTTACATGTGTCCTTACAGAGTGTGTGGGGGCCCTGCCTCCTCCTCAGATGTGCTCTGGAGAAGGGACATGGCCTCAGATGGGGAATCCCGCCTCAGACTGGGGCTCCTCACGGTGGGGCTGAGTCTCCTCCCTCCGTCTCCCTCCTTATCCCTGGCCTCTCACTCTGGAAGCCCTACGGGCCCCCTCAGAGCCTGAGCCCACAGCAAGCTATATCCCTTGGAAGGCTGGCTGCCCCTGGGGTCCAGGAGCCAGGTCTCCGTTTCTGGTCCCAGCTCTGGCTCCTGCTCCAAGACCAGTGACATCGTTGAATCGCTGGGTCCGGGCAGGTGAGAAGCCACTGCACAGCCAGCTCCTCCCACACAGCAGGGTGGCACAGCAGCCCCGACTCAGGCAGCCCCTCCGGGGCAGCAGGGACATGGCCAGGCGGCTCTGGGAGGCCGAGGCAGGTGGACTATCCAAGAACTAAGAAAGGGCAGCGTAAGTTCACCTGCCCATGGCTTTCTCCCCATCCATGCTTGCTGGTGGCCAACATCCCTCCCCTGCGCCTCCGCGGCTGCTCTTTCCTCCAGATGGTCTTGGCCCCTCCCGCCCTGACAGACTGGGCTGCCAGCCCCCAGCGCAGACGCCCAGACAGCACGGCTGTCCTGGCCCTGGAGGGTATGAATCTGAGCTGGCCGTGGCACGGAGGTGCTGTGGGAGGCTGGGCACCCTCCTGCCCTGCCTGGGCTCCGGTGGCCCACACAGCACACTGGGTGTGTTTCCAAGGTGACCAGGCCCTGTCCTAGAAGAGTCTTTCTAGTCATGCTCGGTACCAGCATCTAGCCCAGCCCACTCCACCTGACTACCACAGGGTCCTCAAGGCGTATCACCCTTGCATTCACGGCCTCCAGACCGGGCCCTGTGGCCATGCCTGTCTCACCTCCCACCACCCTTCCTCACTGTGCCTGGCTGCTTCTCACCTCACACCTTTGCTCCTACTGTTCCCTCTGCTGGGAACGCGCCCCTTCATCACTGCTTTACCACCCGACAAACTCTTACTCACCTTTCGAAACCCACTCTGGCTCTGAGATGCCCTCCCTTACACCCCTGCCTGTACCCTGGGGTGGCAAGGGGCCTGGTTGAGGGCTACAACGTGCCTGCTGCCACATCCACTAGAATGCAAGCTCCCAGATAACAGACTAAGGCTTGTTCTCATCTGTATTCCCACTGTCCAGTACAGGGCCTGAGCATGGAGCTGCTGAGGACAAAACTGGGAGGACCTGGTGTCCTTTGTTAGGGGACAGGCAGCCTCGCCATCCTGCCGCCCTGGCTGCCCACTGACAGTCGTGGAGGTCGTAGGGGCAGGCATTAGGGTCAAAGACAGTGCACAGCCGGGAGGCACCTAGCTCCCTTCCCACCCTCGTTCAACCGCACCTGCCCCAGAGCCCATCCCAGGGCACCAGCGGGAGCCTTGCAGCTGCAACACAGCGAGTCCTCTGCAGCAGACAGCCCCGCACGTGTCCTGCACGGGTGCCCAGGGCTGGGCTCTGACTCTGTGAGAGGGAGGGAGGGTGTGATCATGGCCTCCGTTATGTGTCGGGGCCACTGGTGGCATTTCTGCCTGTACAGGGTTTTTAAAACGCAGGTCTGTGCTCCCTGGGCACAGGCCAGGCCGTGAGGCGCTCCCTGTGACGAACCCTCACACGCTCAAGCAGAGGCCCACAGCCAGGCGGGGCCCGAAGGGATCTTACAGGCCGGAGTCAGCGGCACAGAGCACCTCAGCCCTAGTCTCCCCATCTCCTCCCCGGTGTGTCTGTGGTGGCCTGTCCCAGACAGGGGCGGCCTCGGGGTGCAGGAGCCAGGCCCGGAGCTGGTGAGGCTGGGGGAGCAGAGCCAGTGGGCATTCACAGACAGTGTCCCCACCCTGAGCTCCCCTGAGCTGGGAGCAGGGGCAGTCCTAGCCCCAGCAAGTGAGGAAGCAAGAGCTTGAGTTCTGCTCTGTGGACTCGAAGGCCAGTTGAGGACAGGGGAGCCAGCCCCGGGGTCTGGGGAGGTGGGTAAGACTATGGGCTCTGGAAGCAGTTCCCCCACTGGGACAAGTTCCCTGACGTCTTCCTGCCTCACTTTCCTCCTCAGTAGAATGGGCATCTGCCTTGTCCTGTTACGTGGGGGGGCAAAGTTAAATGGATCATATACAGTGTTTAGAAGACTTCCTGCCATGGTGAGCACTTGTTACTACCTGTCTGGTTCAGGCTCTGGAAATTCAGGAACGGAAGTCACCACCCCTTCTAGCAAGGAGGGTGGGAGAAGCTTTTGTCTGGAGGTGAGCGCTGAACGATGATCACAGACACAGGGCGAGGGTGCCTCCGTCCTGTTGCTGGGGGAACTGCAAAGGCAGAGAACAGACTTGTTTGCCCCAAAGGTTCTGAGGAGGCAGGTTCTGACCAGTGGACCAATGCTTGTGGAAAAGGGGCTGTGCTGTGAGGCTGGGGGCGGGGGGGGGGGGTGCTGGATCACCGGGACCCGACTGCCAGCTGGGCGGATAAAGCCCCCCAATGGCACCAGGTATCTCTGTGCTCCCCTCCTCTTCCATGTCACCCCCGCCTAGTGCCCACCCTGCTTCCTAGGACCCCACGGAAGAACATGCACCGGCCCCATATTCTCGTAGCAACTCTCTGCTGTGTCTTACCACGCTTTAAGAGGGGAGGGAGCTTCTTAGCACCCATTTTATAAGTGAAGCCCCTGAGACCCTGCAGGTCCCACTGGGGCTTCAAGGGGCAGGCTCGACTCCTTGGGTAGCCTTCCCCACCCTCCTAGGACCCCACGCTCGATCTGCATCCAGTGAGGACCCTCAAGGGCTTCCCTTGGTGCCCCCCCACCTCCTGTCAGGGCAGGGCCAGAAGACAGGCAGGTCTAGGGCCCGGCTGAGCGCAGCCTCCACGCGGTGCATTATTGATGGGGCTTCTAATTGTGCATTTCCCAAAGTCTACAGGCCTTTGATGAAAAATTCATGGCACGCCCGCGGACGGGAGCACACTCAATCGATTGGCAGCCCAGCAGGCGCGAGCGCACTGGGCCTCCTCCGTGAGGGGCGGCTGAGGGCCGGGCTGGGAGGGGGTACCGGTCCGGTTTTGCCTTTATCCCAGGCTTCTGGCCCAGGATCTCAGGACTGGAGGGGCACACACAGCAAAAAGCAGAGTCTATTCTCCCTGGGTGGTGGGAAAGAGGGTGAGGCTGGGACGCAGGAGGGGGAAGGTCTGCGCACATCCGGGATGCTGTCTGGGTGCTGCCCAGAGAGGATGGCCATCTCTGTCACAAACCTCATTTTCATTTCCCTAGGAGAACGTTAGACCCTCCAGGGCCCCTACGAGCCACAGAGGAGGGAGTAGCATTGTCAGATTTACTCACGTGCCAGGTACTCTGCTTGGAGCTCCACACCCACAGCCTCATTAAACCCCAGCAGCTCTAGCAAACGGGCTCAGCCATGCCCTCCCCATCACAGAGCAGGGGTCTGAGGTTCAGAGAGCCAGCGGATGCCTGTCCAAGTCACACAGACAACTAGCAGGAGAGCAGGGACTCGAACCCAACACCGAACAAATGCAAGGTGCACTGCCTCCCCACTGCTCCTGGCCGGCTCCTCTGCGCCTTCTCTGCTATACAAAGGAAGAAACTGCAGTAAGAAAAACTGGACTCTCCAGGGTCTCAGAATGAACTAAGTGAAAAATTAGGGTTGCAGAGGAGAAGGGCAAAGGTCCCCCTGCAGCACTGACAGAGGCCAGCGTCGCCCCACCCCCCACGCAGAGTCCTGAGCTGGCACCCAATGGCCAGAGGTAGGAGGTGCCTTAGGGGCGGAGCTTTTGAAACACGTGAGGCTGTCTGTCCTGGACACAGTCAGGGCTGGTTATTGTGCCATCGGAGTCCTCCAAGTCCGTCCACCCACTCATTAAACAGGCGAACAACTGTTTATGGAGCCCCAGCTGTTTGTGGGCACCGTGCTCAGTGCCCATGGCCATGCCTGTCAGGAAAGGCTTTGGGGCCAAGCTCGCCTGGGACAGAGAAGCTGGACCCAGCTTGGCTGGGGAACAGGTGGAAAGAACCCCTCCATCCCCTAGGAGGGGTCTCGGCAACCCGGGCCCAGGACAGTTAAAGCAGATGGCCCCGCCTTAGTGACCGGAGTGGTTTCTAGGTGGTGGGCTGCCTTGTTTGGGTTTGTTTTCCCTTTGCTTCCCAGTGAGTTTCTTTTAAAAATATCCACCCGTGTCTCTGCTGAACTAAAGGGAAAGGAATTTGTCCAGACGATTGGGAAAGGAGAGATGGGAAGGCCCAGGCGGCCCCGTGGAGCCCAGGGCTGTGCAGTGCAGGAGGAGCCAGGCTGCCGAGAGGGCAAGGGGTGACAGAGGAAAGGAGAGAGAGGCACAAAGAAGGGGTGACTGAGAGAGGGGGAGCCACAGGGGAGAGGAGCTGAGGGCAAGGGGCAATCAAGGGGCAGAGAAAGTGGAGATGGAGGGGGCCCTGAGGGGGGGACTGAGGTGTAACCAGAGGGCAGGGCAGGGGAGGACAGGTGCTGACTGGGGCGGAGGTGGAGGACACAAGACAACAGCCCCTTTCTTAGGCTCCTGCTCCCCCCCCCCCGCAGCTCTCCCAGGCCCCGTGCTTCCTTATGATTCCCTGGCCAAGAAATGAGCCTAGCCCGACTTCAGTCACCCTACCCAGATGCCCCTGACCCTGGAACAAAGGGGAAGTGGCCCCTTGAGCCTGCCTGCTTCCAGCTCAGGGCTGGGCTCTGTCACCAGGCAGGTACTTGTTGTAGCAACAGTCCCTGGGGACTGACTCATCCTGCGGAGCAGGACTGCTAACAGGAAAGATGGGAGAGCCAGGCCCCCCATCCCCTCCAGCCCTCAGGACTGCCCCAGGCCTCCTTGACAGCCACTCTGTAAGTCTGCCCCCACACCCACCAGTTCTGGAAGGATGTGTTGGCTAACCTAGTAGACGATTGTGTTGCCTGGCAACCAGTAGAGTTGTTCCCAGAGCAAGTCGAAGCGGGGAGGACCAGAAGATCAGACCTGCAGACATTGCCCAAGCAGCCCGTAGTCACGGGAACCTTCCCAGGGGCTCCAGTCCCTGCCCAAGCCCCCTGAGCCCAGAAGCCCAGAAGGGAGGAGGGCAGGGCTCTGGGAAAAATGCTTTGAAGTGACCACTGCCTCCTGCCAATCCAGGCCCTGGCTCTGGCCTCTTGGAGGTCCAGCCCTACATCCTAGAAAGGGCTGCACCTGGGCTGCAGCCTGGGGCGTAGGGCCTGGTGGCTTGCTGGCAGTACAGAGCCCACACGGGACAGAGAGGGAGAGCGGGTGAGGCAGATGGGGACATCCAGGGGAGGTGCATCTAACCCAGGTCATTAGAGCTGGCATTGTCTGGCTTCACACAACCACCTTCTCACTGGGACCCCCATTGCCAAGACATTTGCTTTTCTATTGTGGCAGGAACCCCCAAGTACACCCCAGGATACACCCCAGCAGGGGTCATCTCCCCAGTTTGCAGATGATGGGGCGCAGAGAGGGCCAGGGAATTGCTTAAGGTCACACAGCAGGTGTGGACAGAGGCTGTATTGGAAGCCAAGGTTCTGGACTCTTCCCGCCCCCGCATGTGGAATGTTCAGAGCTCCAATAAAGGGGATACAGCAGGAGGCGACCGATGGTGAAAAGGTCACTTTATGAGAGAGTAAGCAGGACCTGTGGGGCCAGGGCTGGATTCTGTCCCCTCAACAGTCCCCTGAGTGCCTGGCCCTATACTTCCCTGGGCTGAGGGCAAGAGCCAGCTCCAAGCTGAGTCCAGGAGAGGCAGGACCCTGAGCCACAAACCTTTGGGGTAGCCCAGGAGTCTTCCTGGAGGAGGAGAGCCCAGAGTGGAGACTTGAAGGTTGAGCAGGGTTCTGGAAGGCCTGGGAGGGGAAGCTGAACATGGCAAGAAAGGGCATCTTTCAGGAGGCCCCGCCCCCAGCCCTTTTGCAGGCGCAGCTCCATTAGGGCCAATTAGACAGGGGCTGGGGTCAGCGGCCAAGGTCTTGCCACCGCTCAGAGCTGCACATTCACCATGCTGAGCACAAAAGATTTCCAGGCACCACCTCTACCGCAGCAGGAAGGGAGAGAAAGAACAGAAGAAAGGGAAATTCACTCCTTTTGTTTCTCGGCTATAACCTTGGATTGAACAAAGAAGCAATGCCCACCCCCCACCACCACCCAGGGAGCCTGTTTCAAACAGCAATTTGCACAGATTCAGCTGGGGTTGGGAGGTTCAGCCAACATTCAGAGGGACCCAAGAGCAGGGATCTGGAGTGAGCAGGCCCTGGTCCTAGGCCTCTATGGCAGTGGACTCTCTCTGGGCAGAAGTAGAGCTCCTGAGCCTCAAGGCAGGGACGGGTGGAGAACTGGTCCTCCAGAATCACACCTCCTCCAGGCTCCCACCTCCAGGTCCGTCCTCTGCCTGCCCTCTGCCCTGCCCTCGCTGCCCTGCCCAGGTGGGCCAGCCCTGGGCTTCACATCCCACTGGCAATGGTACTTGCAGGGTTCCCTGGCCCGCCTTCTGGTAGAGAGAGAGCATTGTGGGGGAATGGAGAAGGCTCATCCTCATGACTGTGTTCTGCTGTTATACTCTCCTGGACAAGGCAAAAGGGTACCAGGCTAGGTGGGCTGTGTGTGGCTAAGAGCAAGGGGGCCACAGATACAGAGGCATCATCCTGGGAGCAGGAGGCTTTTCAGCCGTGGTGAGCCCTGCCCCCAGGAGGTACTGCTGTCCTTCAGCAGACCTTCAGCACCGCGGTGGTCCTGTCCCCGTCCCTGAGATGGCCCCCACGGGAACTGCGCTCTGGAGGCCAGCACTGGTTTGCACAAGCGGAATGTTTTCCTTTTAAAGACTTGTGGTTAATTCCCATTAACAGTGTTAGATCGCTTAGATTAGACAAGCAGGGCCTCTGGGACATCCCAAGGAACCTGCAGGAGTTGAGTCAGATGAAGGCAAATCTGGAAGGAGCAGGGACCCCTGACACAAGACCTGGGGGTCTGCTTGGCCCTATTTCCCAACTCTGGACGACAACCAGAGGCTGCAGAAAGGAGGTGTCAGGATCTCCTGAGAGCTGGAGGGAGACAGTGTAGCCCAGAGGTGTCCAACTCATTTTCACTGGGGGTCCACGTCAACCTCACAGCTGCCTTCAAAGGGCCGAATGTAATGTTAGGACTGTATAAATGTAACTACTCCTTAACAGTTAAACAAGAGCTCGGCGCTGCTGCCGCGTAGAAACAAGGAGCCAGGCAGATGAAACTGGGCGGAGGCTTGGATTCAGCCCTCGGGCCTTGTATTTGCCGCCTGCGCTGTAGATGTTCCCTCATGGGATGAGGAATGCCAGGCTGGGATGGGTCAGGGATGGCTTCTTGGCAGAGGGAGGTGAAACTTTGAAGACAGAAGGCGGCTCAGGCTGGCTCATGAGCAGAGTGACCAAGAGTTAATTTGTGAAAGAAGGTCTAGTGCCGAGACGGACTGCCTTGAAAGTGAGTTTTTAATCATGAGGGCATGTGGGAGCTACTGAAGGGCTCTGAGGCCAGGGAGAATGTTCCAGTTATCTACTACAGCGAGACAAACCACCCCAAAACTTGGTGACTTGGGAAAGTCATTTTATATTTATTACCCGAGGTCACAGTTCTGTGGGTCAGGCGCCGAGCCGAGGCGTAGCAGAGAGGGCCGGTGGGTCCTCAGCTGATCGACCCCCAGGTCAGAGCTGCAGCAGCTGAGGCTGGATGGGCATGGCTGCCTCCCACGCTGGCACTTTGGGCCTCCTCACCTCGTGGCAGTCTAGGGGTAGGGAGGCTTGTCCTCTGGGGGGACAGCAAGCATTCCAGCGGGAAAGGTGGCAGCTGTGACGCCTCTGATGACCTGGCCTCAGATGTCCCACTGCATTCTGCAAGTCTCCAAGGTCAGTTCGATTACGGGGGAGGGAATTAGACCCCACCTCTCAGCGAGAGCAGTAGCACAGCCTTTTCAGCCATCTGTCATCTACCAGAGAGGAAGGCTGCGTTTTGAGGCAGCACAAAGAAAACCCAACCTTAAGGGAACCAGAGGACTAGCAGGCTTGCTTGAAGGAGGCTGCAGAGATCAGACCAGTTAACCGGGAGCATCAGGAGAGGGCTGCCCACCCTGGTAGCTGGGCACTTTCTTCAACCAGGAGACGCTGCCTGGGCAGAGGAAGTTCCTGGGAGAGAATGGAAACATTATATTATTAGCTGGTTTCTCAGGGGTAGAGGGATGTCCTGAGTAGAACCGGAACCTCTTTGCCTTAGGTAGGGGTCCAGGGACACCGAGAAACAGGCCTGGCCAGACCCAGGGGACCAGGAATCTTTCTATCCCTGACTCAGAAAAGCAGTCCTTCTGGACCCCAGAGTACCTCACAGCTGGAAGGGTATGGGATGGGCCTGGGTGCTGTGTGCACCTGCCCTCCCCCGGAAGACATCTTGCCTAGGAAAAATAGCCCCAGTCCCTGGTGCAAGGAGAAGGTCAAGGGCAGGATAGCATCTTACCAAGTCCCTGTAGAGACCGTAGCTCCATGCCCCACCTCAGGCTTTTCTGCGTGGGCTCCCTACTAGCACCTGCTTCCACCAGCACCCAGAGAGACCCAAACAGAGCATAGCTCCGCCCCTGTCAGTGGGACAGCCTTGAGCAAATGACCCAGCTCTTCTTGCCCTA